CGCCTGCTGGGAAAGGCGCCAGGACCGGTGGACCCTTCCCCGCCCTCCAGGCGCGGCGCCCGGCCCTGCGCGGGGAAGGCGGGGCTGCCGGCAGGGAGTCCCTGCTCACCGGCTGCAAGTGGCGGCCGCTGGGGGCCGGAGCTGAGCTAGGTCCTGCGGCCGTGGCCACTTGTCGTGCTGTCCCGGTCCTGAGGACGAGCCACCGTTCCCTCCAATTCCGCCCGTTTCCCAGCGCACAAATCGGGGCCACCCTGCTCACAGCTGCATTCGGATCCAATCCTGCTGCTTACCGCACAACTCTGCCAGCCCCTCCTGCCCCTCCTTGGAAGGCCACCGAGCACGCGGGCTTTGTCGCTGAGCAGCTCCCGCTCCACCGCGGCCCGCTGCTAGCTACGGGAGCTTCGAAAGCTGACGTCGCCGGGGATCCTTTCTCATCCCGGGACCCAGGTCCCTGGTGGGTTCAGGACTCCCTGGTCTCCGAGTGCACAAATGAAATGCAACGGGGATTAGAAACAGCCCCGGACTCTGGTCTCGGGGAGCTGGAGGTCACTCACTGGCTCACACCGGCCTCGGCTGCGGGGACAGGCAGCAGCGTGCCAAGAGCACAGGAGCTGTCCCCACAGACCGCGGCCACACTGCAGGTTACGGGCGTCCCGCGCCGAGTGCGGCAGGATGGGCGGAGGTGACCCTCAGGTCTCCATAAGGTACCAGGCAGGCCGACAAAGGGGGGTGGGCCCAGGCGGTCACCAGCGCAGCCCCGGGGCAGCTGTGCGCAGGCGCAGGGTGGCCCTCGCTGCGCCCAGCCGCTGACCTGCAGGAGCCGCGCACTGTGGAGACCCTCCTCCCGTCCCGACGCCCCTCACCTCAGGCAGCACGTGGGACCCGGACAGTGAGAGAAGCAAGTGCATTTTACTGAAGTAAGACGGCAGCATGCCACTGGACGCGCCGGGCTAGGCCAGGGATGCTCTGCAGTTTGAATAGGTCAGGGTAGGCGGCACTGAGGAATGGCGTTTCTGCAGTCTTGGCGAGGTGAGGGTGTGGCTCCATCATCTAGGGAAGAGCAGTGCACAGCAATAAAAAGGCCCGGAGCTGGGCTGTGTCTCTCCAGGCCTCTGCGAGAACAAGGCTGGCGTGTGACTCAGCCGCACAGGAGGGCCAGGCCCACAGGCCTCGGAGGCCTTCCAAGGAGGGGCAGGAGGGGCTGGCAGAGTTGTGCGGTAAGCAGCAGGATTGGATCCGAATGCAGCTGTGAGCAGGGTGGCCCCGATTTGTGCGCTGGGAAACGGGCGGAATTGGAGGGGACGGTGGCTCGGCTCACACCGGTGTGTTGGGGCAAACGTGGCGGCGAGCAGCAGATGCCTCACCGCATCTTTAAGGGACATCGCATTGGATTCGCTAGCAGATGCCTGTGAGGTTCAAGAAAGGTTTCTGGGCGGAGCGCCTGGAGGACACCATCTCCATTTATCTACAGATGGCCAAATCTGGAAAGGGAGTGTGCCTGGGGCATTAGGGTGCAATCTGGACGAGGGTGAGGCTCAGCTGTCCCGCAGACACCCCACCAGAAATACTCACAGGAGCTGGACATAGCCGCCGGGCGATCATGAGAGCAGCTCAGAATAAAGAGTAATCTAGAAATAATTTGCATGCTCCCCATCTCGTGGTAAGGTCAGGTTCACTGTGTGTAGCCACCTTCCATCCTGCACTGGAGTATTTACACAGACACGTGACAACCGTGTTCGTCTGGCTATTCGTCACGTACACTTTCACAAATGCTCCCTCCAAGGACGAGGGGCCACAGCAGAACTGCTCTGAGGCCTGAGGGTGTGTCCCGTGCACGCTGGGCAACAGTGAAGAGGGCGCTGTGGGGGACGGCCCTCACCATGCCCAGGCTGTGCCATGCACTCGATGGGACAGAGAACAACCCCAGTGAGCAAGCACAAGCCCGAGCCGGAGCGCCCGCTCTCCTCAGACACTGGAGGGCGTCCTCCTCAGCACCCAGAGGCACGCTGGCCTCACCTCCCTCACCGCATCCTCAGGCTGGACTAGGCTGCTTGGTGAGCTGCGTCTGAATGGGTCCATGGTCCCGCCAGTCCCCGTGGGCCTAGATGTCCGGGCAGGCGGGCTCCGCGAACTCCTGCATGTGACGGGCTGGGGTGAGCACAAGGCACCCTCCTAGGCTGACGGAGGACCTTCTCTGGCGTTGGTCTTGCAGGAATTTCACCTGAGGCCGGTGCTCCCAAAGGTGGGAAGAGATAGAAATCGAGTCACAGAGAGAACTCGTAGACTTTTTTTTTTCCCCCCTGGAACTGGGAATCGAACTCACGACCTTGCCCTTGCCAGGCAGGCACTGTGCCGCTGAGCTAAATCCCCAGCCCCGAGAACCTGTAGACTTGTTAGAATTAAAACTTATCCATCAAAGATGGATCTTTATTATTGAAGTTTAGATGAACATTCAGAAAAAGTCTAAAATTTGGTTTAATTATGCAGACATTTAAAGGTATTAAGAGGCTAGTTTTGCCTGTATTCCTACAATACACTGAAAATTACAACAATGACGTCCCTCATAAATTTTAGTGTTCTACATAAATACACACTGAAGATTAACTTTTTATAATGTCAAGTAATTTAATCATTTTATATAGTAATAAAATTTAAATTCTGCTAAGTTTCCTCTCACAAAGAAAATTAAGAATAGCCTTTATTATGTTTAAACAACTTACATTATTACAATTATTTCAGAGTCCACTGGAATGAGATAAAATATTTTGACAAGCTGATTCAGAAGTAAAGGTTACTTTTGCACCTTTTTTACTGCCTAGAAATATGGCCCTTTGGCCTGTACACACTCCCGTGCTCCCTCACACACATATCGAAGACCACGCAAGAGGAAGCTGTGTTGATAATAAACTGTTTCCCAGTTCTAACACCACTGAAAATGACCCACAGCAGCAGAGGAGCCTGTGCCCCCTGCTGACTCTCCTGCGCCTCTGCAGAAGACAGAGGGGCTGGCCTAATTCTATGGCCGACGGCTTGCAAAGATCCCACATTCCCAGATTGCACAGGTGCTGGAAGGGAGAACCAGGGCACCGGGAGGGCATCAGCGTCCACGTGGAGGGACTGTCACCACCCAAGCGTCAGATTCGAGCACAGCAAGGCAGGCCTAGCACAAAGGGAGCTGTGAGAGAAGTTTTTGTTTTTGTTAAGTAAAGAAGTGTTTTAACACTGAGTACATTTTTCTGCCGATACTTACGTCTGTTTATAATATCTCAATTCGTACTTATTTCTGTCTGGGTAAGTGCTGGGGGCTGATCAGAGCCCTGGGTACCAGTGGGGGAAATGGCAGGGAATAAGGAAGGACAAAAGACAACATTCCAGGCACAGGGGCTGGGAGGAACCTGCCTCTAGTGGAAGGCACAGCAATCTCCGCGGTCGGCCCACTTTCATTAGCAAGCGAGAAGCTCAGGAGAAGGGCCACACACTTTTCCTGGAACGGCGACCATGGGAGACAGGGCGGAGTTAACGGGGAACAGGCTATGCCCGGATGCCTGCGTTCCTTACATTGTCCTCAACAGATGTTATCCTGCTTGACAGCTAAGCAGCCAGGAAGCCTGGGCCTTCCTCGTACTTCTCTCTGTTCCTAAAGCAGGTCCACTGGCCTCGGGACCACGGGATCCCAGTCACGTAGCCTGGTCCCCAGCGTAGTAAAACATTATTGCATACCCGCTGGTTCCCGGGGGTAAGCACCCAAGAATAAACACGTTAAATTCTAATTTGGCCGGATAATCCTGGAAGGAAAGCACCACCACTGAAAACAGGACGGGCAGTTAGCATCAACAAGGGGGCTGTGAGGGGCACAGGTCAGAGCGGCTGAGTAGAAGACGGCCCAGGCAGCCAACAGGAGCCCGGAAGAGAGGCAAGTACACGATGTCCCAGAGAGACACGCTATCTATGAAAGTGAAAGCTCTCATGGCAAGTGAAATCTCTAGACTCAAAACTCACAATAAGGAACACAAACATTTGAAACAATGATAATAGGGTAGATCAAAATACCCTCATGTCAAGCCAACAGGCTAGGTTCTGTCAGCCATGGAAAACCTAACACACCATTCCTACGAAAGATACCCAGTTTCAAAGGTAAGAATTCCTAAGAAAGAGACTAAAAGTTTGCCATTAAAAATATCAGTCTCAAAAAAAAATGTCAGGTCTCACACTGTGGCCCAGTTTTGAAATATACTCACCTACATAATCAGACATATCTGGGCCAAAATTCAACTGGTCAAAAACCCACATCCTTTCTTTTTCCTTTAGTTCCAGTAAGAATACTAAAACTTGGGAAAGAAAATACTGAAAGAATTATTTAGAAATTATTTGGGAATTATTTAGAATCATACTACATTGGGAAATTATTAAACTTAACCATGGAAAGAATAAATTAATTAAACCATAGACTTGCTGTTTTAGAATAAGCTTAACTGACTATGCAATAAAAGTTTTATAATCACTGCTTCTATGTTTATCAGCATTTAAGGTGTTTCAAAATTATAGGAGACTCATGCATACTAAACTTATACACATGGTTTAAAATTTCCCAGAAAATTTACTTAGCCAATTTTGAAATTAATGTTTCAGCGCTCAAGAAAAATTAGGTCCCTAAATTGTATTTTTTCTGCATTTAATGAAGTGAACATTAGATAAAGTATCTGTAATTTTGAGTAATGTTTGTCTAGAAGTCCTTAAGACAAAGAATTAATCATGTTATAAATGTATAATTCAGAGAAGAAAAATCTATAATAATGGACTCCTGGTAGAATCCAAAGAAAGAAGTGATTTTATTTATTTATTTATTTATTTGGTATCAGGAATCAAACTCAGGACCTTGTGCTTGTCAGGCAGGCACTTGTGCTGCTGAGCTCTATCCCTGGTCCAAGAAGTGATTTTAAAAGTACACACAAAAACAGAGCTTCTGCTATCTATTCCTTCCAAACATGGTAATCTGCCTGGTTTTAAAGACGGATGAACCACAGCTTAGCAGGGATCCCCTTTCCACGTTCCCCACCCGGGTGACGGGACGTGACACATGACTGACTGCTGGGTGCAGCTGTGTCGAGGCACGTATTTCCGAGAGGAACAGAGGCACAAGGTGCTGGCTCGAGGAAAAAGGGAGATGCAAAGGTCAGCGCCTCAGAAAAGCTGTCCTACGACCAACCCCCAGTCTGGGAAAACCATGGAGTTGTAGGGCAGCCTCTCAGGCCGAAAGCACCAGTCACTACCTTGCGCATGAGGATAAACACGAAAGTGGTATCAGGAAAATCATGATTCTGGCAAACCATTCCAAACGGTAATAAACATGCGACATTCTTAGCTCAGCCAGGTGAAAATAACGCAAGACCAAACAAGGACAGTTCGTCTGCCCTGCTAGCTTTAAGAGTGCTGCCTTCCCGGCCCTTGCTTCTGGATGAAGGGAAGAGGGACCCAGGCAGGACCCGCTCTTCCATTTAAAAGAAGAGGAAAGGGCAGAAACATTTCTGGGAATGTCAAGTATCGTATTTGCAAAATCACGCCCGCAGTAGCCCGTCCCTCTGTCGGAGCGCTGGTGTCCGGCGCGAACCGGCCTGCGGGGCACCCTGCGGGGCGCAGCCTCACGGCCTTCCCCTCATCTCCTCGTCCCAGTCACACTCCAAGGCGTCGACGTCCAGCTCCGGCAGGGCGAAGAGGGAGCTCTTGGACAGGGCCGGGCTCCCGGCGGGGGCCCGCAGCTGGAAGGACCTCCGAGTGCCGCCGAGCGCCGGCGCCCGGGTGGCGGGGGGCGGGCTG